GAGACGGAAAGAGACGGAGGTAGGGAAGGAGGGAGGGACGCTCCATCGTCAACGAGGCCGGCCATTTTTATGATGCTCTCGACTTAACCCTTTTTCCTGCTGCTGTTGCTTTCCTGCGCCTCCACCCACCCACGTCCTCCTCCACCCACCCACCCACGTCCTCACCCACCCACCCTCGTCCTCACCCACCCACCCACATCCTTCTCCACCCAACAACGAACTCCTCCACCCAACAGCGAACTCCTCCACCCAAGAGGGAACTCCTCCACCCAACAGCGAACTCCTCCACCCAACAGCGAACTCCTCCACCCAAGAGGGAACTCCTCCACCCAACAGCGGATTCCTCCACCCAACAGGGAACTCCTCCGCCCAACAGGGAACTCCTCCACCCAACAGGGAACAGGTTAACAATGATTGCTACTCAAGTCTATAACACCGTCAAAGTGTGCGGCAGTGTTGAAGAAAGTTAACGTCGAAAAGTCACCAGGTACTTGGACTGGTCGGTACAGGGACGTCCTCACTTCCGGCAGATCGACGTTCGAGTCCCGAATATCCCCATGACTGAGCACCATCCCCTTCTCTGCATCCTATCCCAACCCATCGTCCTCCTGCTCCTTCCTAGTGCTCCATAGACAGAGTTTAGACGCCTTTAGAATTAGAGACAGAGAAACAGACTCCTGATGTTTGTCTTACTGTACGCTTCTTCTGTTGTGCAAACCTTCTGGTAAATTATAACACGAAGCTTTTCTTTCAAGGCTTCTGTTCATCGGTTTAAAACCTCTATTTATGATCATTTTTAACTTCATGTCCGATACATTTATCGCTGGATTAAACTTTGGGTCTACTGTCATCAACTGTGGTGTTCCACAAGGTTCCTCATCAACTGTGGTGTTCCACAAGGTTCCTCATCAACTGTGGTGTTCCACAATGAGAAAGTAAGCTCTTTCCTATATGAGGGTGACAGCAGGCCTTTTCTGTATGGGGGTGACAGTAGCCCTTTCCTATATGGGGTGACAGTAGCCCTTTTCTGTATGAGGGTAACAGTAGCCCTTTCCTGTATGAGGGTAACAGTAGCCCTTTCCTGTATGAGGGTAACAGTAGCCCTTTCCTGTATGAGGGTAACAGTAGCCCTTTCCTGTATGAGGGTAACAGTAGCCCTTTCCTGTATGAGGGTAACAGTAGCCCTTTCCTGTATGAGGGTGACAGTAGCTCTTTCCTGTATGGGAATCATAGAAGCATTTTCCATTAACGGAGGTTGACATTTTACCCCACAAAACACTACAAGTGAACAGCAATAAACACCTTGCCTGCGTATCTAGGAGGCGTCCGTATCAGTTCTACGCAAGTGCGTACCGCGGAAGTGAAGCTTTACGCCCGAAGAAGCCGATAAAGAAACCTGAGACTGTAGGTGTAAGTCGTAGGGGAAACTCTTGGAATTATTATAACTTTTAGACACTGTCTAAAATTTTTTTCCCTCTTTTGTTTTATTGAGAGGTAAAGGAGAAGACGACGTCCTACTTTTGTTAGGAAGCTTAGAGCTTTAGTTTCGTATATCTCATATTTAGTCTGACACTACTGGTTATGCCAGGAACACTGCCCATTATTATTATTATTCTCTGTCTGTCTGTCTGTCTGTCTCTGTCTGTCTGTCTGTCTGTCTGTCTGTCTGTCTGTCTGTCTGTCTGTCTGTCTGTCTCTCTCTCTCTCTCTCTCTCTCTCTCTCTCTCTCTCTCTCTCTCTCTCTCTCTCTCTCTCTCTCTCTCTCTCTCTCTCTCTCTCTCTCTCTCTCTCTCCATTCCTTCTGGCATTTGCATAAACTTTTTTTGACACTCTGTACACGCGCAACACATGGGACTCGGGACGGGAGCGTTACAGGGTGATGTTAGCGCCTCAACACTCCTCTTCTCCTCCTCCTCCTCCTCCTCCTTCTCCTTGCTCAACCACTTGGGCTGGACGGTAAAGCGACGGTCTAGCTGCATGCAGATCGGCGTTCAATTCCCGATCGTCCAAGTGGTTGGGCACCCTTCCTTCCCTCACGTCCCATCCCAAACCCTTATCCTGACCTCCTTTCAAGTGCTATATAGTCGTAATGATTTAGTGCTTTCTCTTGATATTTCCCCTTCACTTCCTTCTCCTCTTTCTCCCACTTTCTTTCTCCCACTACTACACCTCTTTGCCCATTGTTCCGCCTTCTGATTTTCCTTTTTCTTCTCCACCACTTAATTCTCTTCTTCATTTTTCTTGTCCTCCACCACCTACTCCATCTCTCCCCCCTCTTTCGATTCCTTCTCCTCCAACCAGGAGGCCTGGTCGACGACCGGGCCGCGGGGACGCTAAGCCCCGGAAGCACCTCAAGGTAACCTCAAGGTAACCTCAAGGTAAGGTAACCTCCTCCTTCACCACTTCCTATCTCCTTCCAGACTATTAAAATGCCCATTCGCACTTGACTGAGGCAATCGTTTGATTTATAGTAAAAATAGTAAAAAAAAAATAATTGGATAAGATATTCATCCCAACTTCCTTAGCTGCAGGAGTTGCTGAGGAGGGAGACTCCAAGACGACAGAAGTGTCTTCTCCACTAGCTTCAGTCAGAACATCATTCACCAACGGAAATATGGAGGTATTTAGATATCTGTTTTAGAGTATGCCGCCCCGTCCTGGAGCCCCTCATATTAAAAAAAAAACACAAGGAAATTCGAATGGTTCGGGAGTTTGCAACGAGACTCGTCCCAGAACTGGAAGGGGAACACACACTGGATAGGGAAAAGCTGTTGGTCCAGACGGGATTTCACCATGGGTATTGAAAGAGTGTGCAGAGGCACTCTGCTTGCCACTCTCCATAGTGTATAGTAGGTCACTGGAGACGGGAGACCTACCTGAAATATGGAAGACGGCTAATGTGGTCCCAATATACAAAAAAGATAACAGGCAAGAGGCACTGAACTACAGGCCAGTGTCCTTGACTTGTATACCATGCAAGGTGATGGAGAAGATTGTGAGAAAAAACCTGGTAACACATCGGGAGAGAAGGGACTTCGTGACAACCCATCAACATGGGTTCAGGGAGGGTAAATCTTGCCTTACTGGCTTAATAGAGTTCTACGACCAGGTGACAAAGATTAAACAAGAAAGAGAAGGATGGGCGGACTTCATTTTCTTGGACTGTCGGAAAGCCGTACACAGTACTCCATAAAAGGCTGATGCATAAGCTGGAGAAACAGGCAGGAGTAACTGGTAGGGCGCTCCATTGGATAAGGGAGTACCTAAGCAATAGAAAGCAGAGAGTTACAGTGAGGGGTGAGACCTCAGATTGGCGTGAAGTCACCAGTGGAGTCCAGATACAAGATATCATTTTGGAAATGAAATTCACAGGTGAATTTGGGGACACAGGTGGAAATTGAGGGCCCAAATGACCCACAGAGATATTAGAAAAACCTTTTTTAGCGTCAGAGTGGTTGACAAATGGAATGCATTAGGCAGTGATGTGGTGGAGGCTGACTCCATACACAGTTTCAAGTGTAGATATGATAGAGCCCAGTAGGCTCAGGAACCTGTCCACCAGTTGAGTGACTGTTGAGAGGCGGGACCAAAGAGCCAGAGCTCAATCCCCGCAAACACAAATAGATGAGTACACACACACACAGCTATACGTTGTAATGATATAGTCTCTAACACTATTGCTATAAGTGGCATGACATTAGTGTCACATTATTCATGTCATCGATCTTTTTCTCAAACATTTTCGTAATATTTTTTTCGTCGAAAAGTAGCTCTCTTGGGTAATAAAGAGTGTCACATTATTCCTGTTCTCGATCTTTTTCCTCAAATATTTTTCTTAAATTTGTTCTCGGAAAACAGTCATTTGGGTAATAAAAGCAACATATTAGGTCTTAAAACAGAAGCCGGCGATGTTAACTCTACAAATTTCGTCTATATCTTTAGCATCCCATTTTTTCTCAGCTGCGCTCCGGATCCTCCTGTATCGCTTATCGTAGGTTGAGGAATTGGGTGTAGGAGGCTTGATAGGAGCGTGTTTATTAGCATACACGCCTGGCCCTGGACGCGCTAAGAGCATTCTGATGTCAGGAGCACAATTAGATCCCTCGCATCTGGCCCTTACAACCCCCTTCTGGATCAAAATGATTCGATTAAATTTTGTTTTATTTTGATTTTTCTCTCCATTATCTGTTAAGGAAATGTCAGTATCATTTGTATAAGCATTATAGCATTCCTGCATGTATATATTTACAGTATATGTATATGAGTTAGTTTGGTATGAAGATTTGGAGAGCCAAGAGTAAGACGTAACTAAGGAAAAGGTAATCAATAGAGAGAAATAAACAATTGAGACTCGTCTATTGACTAGCTGCTCCTCACTCGGGGTTACGACCCAGGGTAAGGGAAGGCGTCTTAATTTCTCTGGTCGTAATAATTATATCAGCGAGCCATCTGTCCTGCCAGTGATGACGCTTGCTGTCACCTGACCCTCATGTCATGCCAAGTCATTTCCGTCTGAGTGAATGTTTCCAGACGTTTTTATTACCAGTATTGTTTTTATCCTTATCCCCACCCCCACTCCACCTCCATACCCCTCTCTCTCTTCTATCATCCCCTCTCCCCTCTCCTATCTTCCCCTCCCTACCTCCTCCCCTCTATCCTTTAACGCTAATTTGAATATTGCCCTCTTTGCGTTCTCCTCTTCCTTGGCTGTGGGTTCTCTTGTCTTCTGTCTTGTATTCTCTCTCTTCTTTTGAACTATTTCTATGTACAGGCAAGTAGGGAAATAGGTTAATAGTAGAAAATTATATAAATTGGTAGATAATAAGCTAGCAGGAAGGTTAATGGTGGAGGTAATAAAGTTAATAGAGGGTTTAATAAAAGGTGAATGGGAGTATAATTAGAAAGCAATAGGTGGTTAATATCAAGGCTAATAAAGGAGCCTTGTAATGCTTTAATTGGGAGGATAATAGGAGTTTTAATAGGGGGCGCTAATAAGGGTGCTAATAGGAGGGCAGGCGAGCGATAGGTGTGGAAATGCTTATGATCATAAACTGTCCGCGGAAACTCTTGGCTGTAACGCCAATGGTAGGGGGTAGTGGGCACGGTGACTCTTGTCTGGGCACTGGTAGGGGTAGTGGGCACGGTGGCTCTTGTCTGGGCACTGGTAGAGGGGTAGTGGGCACGGTGGCTCTTGTCTGGGCACTGGTAGAGGTGGTGGGCACGGTGACTCTTGTCTGGGCACTGGTAGAGGTGGTGGGCACGGTGACTCTTGTCTGGGCACTGGTAGGGGTGGTGGGCATGGTGACTCTTGTCTGGGCACTGGTAGGGGTAGTGGGCACGGTGACTCTTGTCTGGGCACTGGTAGAGGTGGTGGGCACGGTGACTCTTGTCTGGGCACTGGTAGGGGTGGTGGGCATGGTGACTCTTGTCTGGGCACTGGTAGGGGTAGTGGGCACGGTGACTCTTGTCTGGGCACTGGTAGGGGTAGTGGGCACGGTGACTCTTGTCTGGGCACTGGTAGAGGTGGTGGGCACGGTGACTCTTGTCTGGGCACTGGTAGGGGTGGTGGGCATGGTGACTCTTGTCTGGGCACTGGTAGGGGTGGTGGGCATGGTGACTCTTGTCTGGGCACTGGTAGGGGTGGTGGGCATGGTGACTCTTGTCTGGGCACTGGTAGGGGTAGTGGGCACGGTGACTCTTGTCTGGGCACTGGTAGAGGGGTAGTGGGCACTGTGACTCTTGTCTGGGCACTGGTAGGGGTAGTGGGCACGGTGACTCTTGTCTGGGCACTGGTAGAGGTGGTGGGCACGGTGACTCTTGTCTGGGCACTGGTAGGGGTGGTGGGCATGGTGACTCTTGTCTGGGCACTGGTAGGGGTGGTGGGCACGGTGACTCTTGTCTGGGCACTGGTAGGGGTGGTGGGCACGGTGACTCTTGTCTGGGCACTGGTAGGGGTGGTGGGCACGGTGACTCTTGTCTGGGCACTGGTAGGGGTGGTGGGCACGGTGACTCTTGTCTGGGCACTGGTAGGGGTGGTGGGCATGGTGACTCTTGTCTGGGCACTGGTAGGGGTAGTGGGCACGGTGACTCTTGTCTGGGCACTGGTAGAGGGGTAGTGGGCACTGTGACTCTTGTCTGGGCACTGGTAGGGGTAGTGGGCACGGTGACTCTTGTCTGGGCACTGGTAGAGGGGTAGTGGGCACTGTGACTCTTGTCTGGGCACTGGTAGGGGTGGTGGGCATGGTGACTCTTGTCTGGGCACTGGTAGGGGTGGTGGGCATGGTGACTCTTGTCTGGGCACTGGTAGGGGTAGTGGGCACTGTGATTCTTGTCTGGGCACTGGTAGAGGTGGTGGGCACGGTGACTCTTGTCTGGGCACTGGTAGGGGTGGTGGGCATGGTGACTCTTGTCTGGGCACTGGTAGGGGTGGTGGGCATGGTGACTCTTGTCTGGGCACTGGTAGGGGTAGTGGGCACGGTGACTCTTGTCTGGGCACTGGTAGGGGTGGTGGGCATGGTGACTCTTGTCTGGGCACTGGTAGGGGTGGTGGGCATGGTGACTCTTGTCTGGGCACTGGTAGAGGTGGTGGGCACGGTGACTCTTGTCTGGGCACTGGTAGGGGTGGTGGGCACTGTGACTCTTGTCTGGGCACTGGTAGGGGTGGTGGGCATGGTGACTCTTGTCTGGGCACTGGTAGGGGTGGTGGGCATGGTGACTCTTGTCTGGGCACTGGTAGGGGTGGTGGGCATGGTGACTCTTGTCTGGGCACTGGTAGGGGTGGTGGGCATGGTGACTCTTGTCTGGGCACTGGTAGGGGTAGTGGGCACTGTGATTCTTGTCTGGGCACTGGTAGAGGTGGTGGGCACAATGACTTTTGTCTGAGCACTGGTAGGGGTAGTGGGCACTGTGACTCTTGTCTGGGCACTGGTAGGGGTAGTGGGCACTGTGACTCTTGTCTGGGCACTGGTAGAGGTGGTGGGCATGGTGACTCTTGTCTGGGCACTGGTAGGGGTAGTGGGCACTGTGACTCTTGTCTGGGCACTGGTAGAGGTGGTGGGCACGGTGACTCTTGTCTGGGCACTGGTCGAGGTGGTGGGCATGGTGACTTGTGTGGGCACTGGTAGAGGTGGTGGGCACGGTGACTCTTGTGTGGGCACTGGTAGAGGTGGTGGGCACGGTGACTCTTGTCTGGGCACTGGTAGAGGTGGTGGGCACGGTGACTCTTGTCTGGGCACTGGTAGGGGTAGTGGGCACTGTGACTCTTGTCTGGGCACTGGTAGGGGTAGTGGGCACTGTGACTCTTGTGTGGGCACTGGTAGAGGTGGTGGGCACGGTGACTCTTGTCTGGGCACTGGTAGGGGTAGTGGGCACAATGACTCTTGTCCTAGTGGTAGCAGTGGTAGGTGTTCATACAATAGTGGTAGATTTCAAAGTTGTTATTGTTAAAAGATTCGCTACCTGGAACAAGAAGTTCCAAGTAGCACGGCCTATGATGAGCCCGTCAGATATCAAAGTATCGTTGTAGCCGACGCTACTGTCATACGCCGGCGAGCGTATAGCCTCCAGGTGAAGGTAATATTTAGGGTCTCGTCTTCCTGGTCCTCTGGGAAAAAACATCCGCCCTGGATGGACGTACATAGAGGAAATATAACCAATATGCCGTCCTGCTAAAAATGATTAGAAATCGCCCGATGTAAACAGTTGGTTTATGTCCATGACGTATCCTTGTTTACGTGGGGGACATTACAGAGGCGTGTGTGAACGGTCTGTTTGATACTAACCCTTCTCTTGTTCGTAGGCCTAAGTAGATTGAAGGCCCCACTATGAAAGGGTGAGGGGGGGTGGGGAGGATGAGGGAGATAATTAAAGAGGGTGAAGCCCATCTTAACAGCAACCCGCCCCACACCCCCCCCCCCCCCCTTCCCTCCATAAACTATGTCGTGTTTTGCTGCTGCTGCTGCTGCTGCTGCTTCAATTGAAACAGACAAAAGTCACCTGAATACAAAGTTTCTCTAAAGTAGCTTAGTTGTTGTTTTTAGATTCAACTGCTAGAACCAAATTCCCATGTAGCACGGGTTACGGTGAGCCCGTAATAAAGTAGCTCCTTTCTGTATGAATAGCACCACATGAAAAGTAATTAAGTACCTCAGCAATTAACAAAGATCTGTTAAATATAGCGACAACATCAGCTAGGCCTGACCGCTTCCTGTAGTAGGCCGGTAGCCTACCTTAAGATAGGCCGGACCGCCGCCTGTAGTGGGCCGGGAGCCTGCCTTCAGGTAGGCCGGACCGCGGCCTGTGGAGAGCCATTAACCTGGCCCTTCAGGTAGGCCGGGCCGTCGCCAGGAGCGTAGCGGCCACCCTACCCAACCACCTCCACGTGGGTGTGACGAAGAAGTTGGGAATTGATCTAATAAAACCCAGTTAGTGATGGTCTTTCGCCAGCACCCTTAATGACTCGAGTCTCGGCTAGGAATGTCTGCTACCTCCTTCCGATAGATGTATTTAAGATCTGTGTAACACCTAATGTAAGATCTAATGTAAGATCTAGAGTAAGATCTTGTATTGCCTGGATATAAGACGGTGGCACCACCTTAACGTCTAGAGTCATGAATTTGTTTTGTATTTATGCAGTATAGTGCTGAAGGTATTAAGAGGGAAAGCATTTACAAAATCTTACATACATACATAAGGCATTATCATTAGCTTTAATATTAGCATAAGTAGCATTGTCATTTCTGCAGTCACCACCCTACCTACAGTTCTTGCTGTCTCTCTGGATACGTGATTTCTGTGATGCGGACACTGAGGTCCTTGTAATGTGGGTACTAATGTCTTTGTAATGTGGATACTGAGGTCCTAGTACTGTGGGCACTGCGGTGAGCGTAAAAGGCTAAATCTTTTACACTCACTGCCCACATTATATTTAACATTTAAATATAACAAAAGAGACCCATACACACACATAAACAAACAGACACACATATACACACACAAGGGGGGCTCTCGCGACTGAGTGGATAGCCGCGAGGGCCCGGGTTCGATTCCCGGCCGAGGCAGAAACAAATGGGAAGAGTCCTTTCACCCTGATGCCCCTGTTCACCTAGCAGTAAATAGGTACCTGAGCAGTGTCTGAGCGAACACACGCACGCCTATGGTCTAGGCCTCGCGTAAACTGAATCTTAATCCCCTACAAAAAGGTTTGGATTCCTCTCTATAGTCCTCAAACATGCTAATCCGCCTGCGAGTTCCTGTCATATTTTGAATTTAATGAATTTATTTATTCTTAATATCTGTTGACTTTTTTTTAAATCTTTATCATAGAAAACTGGATTTTATTTTTATCATATTCACTGTTACTTAATTTAATTTCGAAACACGTTTACACAGCATTAATGTTTCCAATATTTATTATATCTGGGATTATTGCTGCAATATATATATATATATATATATATATATATATATATATATATATATATATATATATATATATATATATATATATATATATATATATATATATATATATATATGGAAGAGCATGTTAAGGCCAGGTGTGGAGCGGAGAGACACGCGGGCTGCGACTCGACGGATTAATATAAAATTAGCGATAATCCGGGATCAGTGTTTGTTTTTGTCTTAACGCCCAAGTTGGCACCTTTGTTGTGGCGTCACGTCTTAGTCCGTGGTTCCCAGTTGGTCTTTGTGAGTAATGGGAACTCGTGTACGAATGTGTATACTGTGTGTATGTGGGCAGGGAGTGCATGTACGTGTATCTATTGTATGTAATATACGCGTATGTGTGTGTATACTCAGCTATTTGTGCTTGCAAGCGTTGAGCTCTGGCTCTTCGCCTCTCAACTGTCAATCAACTGGTGTACAGATTCCTGAGCCTACTGGGCTCTATCATATTTACATTTAAAACTGTGTATGGAGTCAGCCTCCACTATATCACTGCCTAATGCATTCCACCTGTTAACTACTCTGACACTGAAAAGTTCTTTCTGGCGTCTCTGTGGCTCATTTGGGTACTCAGTTTCCACCTGTGTCCCCTTGTTCGCCTACCACCCGTGTTAAATCATACATCCTTGTCTACCCTGTAAATTCTCCTGAGAATTTTTTATGTGGTGATCATGTCTCCCCGAGCTCTTCTGTCTTCCAGCGACGTGAGGTGCAGTTCACGCGGCCTGTCCTCATAACTCATGCCTCTTAGTTCTGTGGATAGCCTAGTGGCATACCTCTGAACTTTTTCCAGCTTCGTCTTGTGCTTGACAAGGTACGGGCTCCATGCTGGGACTGCATACTTCAGGATTGGCCTTACATACAAGGTTCTGAAGGATTCCTTGCACTGGTTTCTAAAAGCAGTTCTGATGTTAGCCAGCCTCGCATAGGCCGCTGATGTTATTTTTTGATGTGGGCTTCATGAGACAGGTTTGGCGTGATATCAACTCCTAGCTAAATCTTGCTCTCTATCTGTTTCGTGAAGGACTGAATCTCCCATTCGGTATCCAGTGACTGGCCTTCTAGTGCCTCCTCCTAGTTTCATTACCATACATTTACTTGGGGTTGAACTTTAGGAGAGTTCGCCTGCATGAGAGCAACTCTTCCAACTTTAAAAATTTAACTATTAACCAGTTTGATGGCAAGACGGAGTCGCTACGCACGGGCGGTCATCAAGTGGTTCACGATCTCCTCCAACTCAATCCCTCCCTAATTGTTTCTTTTCTTCATAACAATACAGCTCCCAAAGCCGAAGGTCAAAGGTCATAGCGTGGAGAGCGTAAACAGTGTCTTTATATATATGGTCTCTGGGACACCAGCGATAATGTACTGGCGACGCAGGTCAAGAGGACTCTGAAAGGTATGGGGGGACGAGGTCATGTCAGGTCTACTTTGAGGGTCGTGAGGAAGGGGGTGGGGTTGGGAGGGGGGGGGGGGGGGGTGGGGAGGGGGTGGGGAGGGGTGGGGTGGGAAGGGGGTTGGAGTCTCAAGCCTTGTGGTGCTTTGTGTGGGACTGATTAAACAGCCTGGGATTGTCCAGGGTGGGCTCTTGATACTGGTAATGGCTCAAAAGGGCCACCACTTACGGGCTATTCATGCCCGTGCCACCTTTTGGATGGTTTAATCGTCATCTTGGACACATTCATGGGAGACATCTCCCGTCACGCAGAGTGCACTTGCACCTCCACAGATCTCCAGTATCAGCTCTTGATACTGGTGATGGCTCGAAAGGGCCACCACTTACGAGCTATTCATGCCCGTGCCACCTTTTGGGTGGCTTAATCTTCATCATCATCATCCAGGGTGGGAGGGGGAGTGATTTCGGTGTACAGGTGATGGGCGTTTGATTGATACACCTGTCACTTATTTGACCGTATTATAAAATGGTGCTGCCGTCAGTTTGTGTTGCTTGTTTATTTCTCGCGTCTGTCCGTATATCTGTCTATTTTGTTCGTTTGTGATTCTGGCGGTTTGATGGCCAACATTTCTTCATCCATACATCTGTTCATCCATATATATTTTGGACATGTTTGATCTGCCGTATATGTCGCTGCTGCTGATGTTACTGTGTTGTGACGGAGGAGGGAACGTGGGTCCAGGAGGTGGAATTTAAGGATTATTTTACTCCCCTTTGAAGTTTTTTAGGCACTACGGGCTCACCATAGCCCGTGCTACTTGGAACTTTTTGTTCCAGGTAGCGAATTTTTAACAACAATAACCTTTGAAGTTGTGAATTTAGCCTCTGTGTTAAAGTGTGAAATATGAAGAAAACATTTCACAAGCGAAATCCCCTGTTAACCACCCGTAAAGACAATCTAATTAACCCCCTGAAGACAGTTTAATTAACCCCTACAGACAGTCTAACTAATCGGTTGATGAAAGCGTTTCCTCTCGCTCGCTTGCTTGCTTCCTGCAACTTAATTCACCAAATTATTTTGCTGAATCAGTTTCCGGCAACTAATTTAGCTAATTTCTGACTGCGCCATTTATTGCTCAGAGGTCAAAGTTGAAATGCTAGTTGATGTGAAATACATTTTTATGTGTGTCTGTTTGTTCATCACAACCCATGTAATGAGAGACTCCAGGGAAGGGAACA